CACAACCATATATGGTTTGCCTAGATCATATGGGCTGGACTGTGTGTCTGAAACATGTGTTGTTCCTCGGGCCTGCAGATTGATATTATTGCTGTTTTGAGGAACTGAAATAGACCGCCCTATTGAAGAACTAAAAGCTGGTCTAAAATCCAGTGCAGACCATGTTAGTTATGCGCCCATGCAGGTCCAAAGGCTTACACGTTGCTTAATACACACAGGAGGTAGAGCAATACACAAATATCTTTACATAAAAAAAAATAAAGGATTAAATGTTACTTAAATTATTATTTTCTACATAAATATAAAAAAACACTACCTCCATGCCTTCCTGTCGGGGGGCTTTTTTCAGTTTATTCATGACAATTTGCTTTAATATAATATTACGTTCATCAGCATTATTTATTAAATGGATATTTATATTTGTTTTAATAAAAACAAGTTTAGATTTGTCCACCAGTCGGATTTTGGAGACGTATGCGTCACTATATGAGGCATAAGAATAGGACGTGTGTTTGGATATAACTCGGTTGTTTGACAACACTTGGTTAATATTGTTCATTTATTTGTTTGCTGGAAATTAGAACTGAATTTAGAAATAGTTTGACAAATCTTTGCGCTTAACAAACTAAATGAAATATGTAGGCTAATGGATGTCTTCAGTAGAGTGTGTACAATACTGTTTCCTTATCCACGAAAGTAAAGAGTAAAAGTAAAGCGAAAGTATAGAGGCCGAATGGAGGAGGCTTGTGCCTTATCCTTGCGCTGCAGATGATTTGTTTAACTGTTTTCTTCCTAGTGAAGCGTTCAGTTTTTCCACTTACAAAGTCCGCCTTGTAAATAGCAAATGCGCCACGGCGCGACACAACTGACCCTTAAAGGGAATGGGAGATGATTGGTTTATTCTCAAAACGCACCCATAACTCATTAAGAGAATAAGCAGAACCCTGTTAGACCATGCGCCAGGACGCAAAGCATATTTTTTCAAAGTGGATTCGGACACACCATTAATGCTTTTGCGCCATGCGCTTTGAGCCTACATTGTCAAAATAGAGCTCTGTTTAGAGCCCTTTTGTTGTTTGGGGTATGTTCAGTATTACTCCATAAATCAGAAAATACTGTGAACAGCTGGAAAAAAATAACATTATATAAGCATGACCTAAACATTAAAATAACATTAACAGAAACATACAATAAACATAATGCAATGTAGACATGATAAACAAAACATAACCGTGACATGACGTAAACAAAGCATTGGCATGCCATGATAAACATAATATAGACATTACATAACATGAGTTATGACAAAAGTAACAAATGTAGCATAAACAACATTATCAGATTTTTTTAAAAAGAAAACATGTATGCTAACTGTGCTCTTTTGTATGCTCTATAAAAAAGCTTATAATACAAATTTCAATAAAATTGTACAATTAGTTTTATGTCAAACGTTAGAAAGTATATAATAATTGAAATCTACAGACACAAATGGATGAAGTGCAACAAAGAAGTGGTGAAAAGTGTGTTATTGATTTATATTCCTTTGACTGAAAAAACACTTTCTATAAAAATCTAAACTGACAGGTGCTCGACAAAAACTATATTTGCCTGCAGTGTCTCGCTTTAAAGTACAACATAAACAATTTCAGACAAATGTTTGTAATTCCCTCCTAACTATGAGCTTTATTGTTCATTTCTGCTCTGATAGATTTTATGCATTGATGAGGCCACGGCGAGTGTCGACCAGAAGACTGACATGCTGCTACAGAAAACCATCAGAGAAAAATTCAAGGATAAAACTGTTCTCACCATCGCCCACAGGTCCCAATCTTCTTCATCCTTGACAAGAAATTCTTTCATTATTTACTCACATGGTATTCTTAAAACCTAATAGAAATGGGGTTATTTTCAGAACAAATGAAGACATTTAATTCAAATCTATTAAGAGATGTCTGTCTCCATACTCTGACGCTTCAAAACATTCATAAAAATATTTTTAAATAAAAGGTTTGTCTTCTAAAGAGACATAATCATAAAATATATTAGATCAGGGTTGTCAAACGCAATTCCTGAAGAGCCAAAGTCCTGCAAATTTTAGTACCAGCCCTGCTTCAACACACTTATTTGTAGGTATCAAACAAGTTCAAAGTACTCAATTAGTTTGATCTGGTGTGTTTAATTAAGGTTGGAACTAAACTGCGCAGAGCTGCGGTCCTCTAGGAATGGAGTTTGACACCTGTGTATTACATTAACAGATAACATGAACATGTTTAAAGTGGACTTTTGTGACATAAACGCACTGATCAGCAAACCGTTTCAAACCAGCACATTTGAGCTTTCATGAAAATCTATTTTGTTCTTGTACATCAAATGGCTATGGTATGGTCTTCTTCAATGTTTATGTCAGAATAAAAGCCAAAGTTGAATTCAAAACCTTAGAATAATTCACCCAAAAATTTAAATTTACCAACATTTAATCTCCCTTGTGTTCAGAACTGTTTGAGCTTTTTTGATGTTGAACAGAAAAAAGGATATTTTGAAGAATGTTGGCAAACGATAGCCATTGATATCCATAGTTGGAAGAAAAAATACTATGGAAGTCAATGGCTACCAGTTTTCAACATTCTGCAAAATGTTTACTTTTGTGTTCAACAAAATTTTTAGGCAAATTATCCTTTTAATTCATGTGGATTTATTTATTTATTTATTAAATCTCTTCCTTATGGATTTTTTGTAAATTTCTACATCAACATTTTGAAGAATGAAAGTTTTTAGATGAATAGGTAACGTCAATGCAGGGCCTAAAATCTCTTAATTCTTTAAAATAATTTCATTAAGCTTTCCTTTCTTAGAAAAAAAATGCATTTCCTACTTAAAGATTTTGTCTTGTTTCTAGTCAAAATATTAAAAATAATTATTAAATCAAGCAACAATTTCTAAACAAGTATAAAATTTTGTTTTGGAAATTTGTTTTTGGAAATTATATGTCAAAATTAAGTGAGTTTTTTTCCTTACAATGAGCATAATAATTGGCCAATGGGGTAAGTAAAATAATCTTTTTGATTTTTTTTTTCTTAACTCATTGGAAAATTATTACATTTACTTAATTTTTATTACTTGATTTTTATGTATACTTTTTTTTATATATTATTATTTTTTTTTTTGTCTAGAAAGTACTACTTAAGTAAAGTCTTTTTTACATTTTTGGACTAGAAATGAGACACTAGAAAACTCTAAAGCTACGCCCCAAATGGCACACTATGCACTTAGTGTACTTATGTATGTAGTGCCGTCCCAAATGGAAGACAAATGTTTTTTTACTAAGTGGAAATTCAAACCGTTTCCCAGAGGATGTTTGACGGTTGCCATTAGTGAAATAAATGACCAAACTACCAAATAATTCCTGCCGTGAGTATAACCGCATTCACCATCAGGAGGTGGTATACACATCCTTGTAGGAGAATTTGAGCTTTGCTCATAGATTTAATCCACGTCTTTGATTGGAAACATAGCTAATGACTTTACTCAACCATTTCTTCTGTGATATACTGTATGACGAGGAAGAGAAAACCTAGCATAAAGACATTTTGGTGCACAAAAGTGTTCTTAGAGCTTCCTATGATTACAGTTGAACCACTAAAGTCATGGAATGTTTTAAACTTTTTACTTTATGGAGGGTAAACATATTTTAATTTGTCTAGAAAGTCTAGAGCAGTGATGCCCAAACTAGGGCTTGTAGGCCAAAGTTGGCCCATGGTAACCTTTGATTTGGTCCACCATCCCATCTGAGAAGAGACAGAGAATGATGGGGATGTTTTGAGATTGTAAATTCAAATATAATTTAAGCCATTGTTTGTTTTATTTTTAAAAGCTAACTGAAATTAAATGATGTAAATCAATCAGATTTTGTTTAAATGTATACGGTTAATCGACAGTACAGAGACATTGGTGAGGACATCAAGTCAAAGGCAGATTCTGCTTGACTACTGTATTCAGTGTTAAACTCCACCGTGTTATAGTTGTTTGTTTTTTTTGCATTTACAGTTACAATTTGAAAAGCTATACTGCATTAGTTAATACTATTTAAAATATTGTTTTCTATTTAATTAGAAATATTGAGAAATAAATGAGTAAATTACCCATGGCAACTTTTATGTAATATAGTTTGGTTTATTTACCTTCGGCCCATGGCTCTCAATGATATTTGGTTTTTGGCCCTATATACGAAAATGTTTGGGCACCCCCGGTCTAAGGGGTTTGGAACCATAGGAGTGTGATAAACTAATAACAGAATTAAAGTTTTTGTGTGAACTAACCCTTTAAGAACTTTTGTGTTGCCTCACAAACTCAACTATCATTTCTCATCTCGCAGACTGAACACAATTATGGACTCCGACAAAGTATTGGTGATGCATGCTGGGAAGGTGGTGGAGTTTGACAGCCCTGCTACTCTGTGCCAAAGAGAAGACTCAGCTTTCCAGAAACTTTTACGTGGAGGGGAAGACCAAGTTTAAAATACTGAATTTGCAGCTAAGAATGTAGTTTGATTGTAAAGCATGACCCACTGCACAGTTTATATCATGCTATACAATATAGAAGACTCTTTAACTCAGGAAAAATAGTTTTGTTGTTTTATAAATGTCACATTTGTATTTAAATGCAAATTGATCTTAGAAGTAAATTGTTTTTTTTTATTATTGGTCTTTATGTTTTTTTATTTGTTTTTTTTTTAAAGAATTATTACTATTGAACAAAAAAAATCTTCTTACATGGAGTGTATGTCTTATTTCCATTGGTGAAAAAAGTACTGAAAAATCCTACAAGTAAAAGTACCATTAATTGCTTAAAAATGTATTGCGAGAAGAGTAAAAGTATCTGTTGTGAATAATTCTCAAAGTATGAGTAAAAATTTGCCCTTTCAAAAGTGCTCAAGAGTAGTGAGTATTGCACTTTAAAAAGCTGATGCATTTACATGTAATTTATGCATGTGTGTGTAAACGTAACATTCTGTAGTGCATCTAGTTGTTGCCCAGCAGGCACACAACATCATAAGATTAGGTTAGACTTAGGTTGTGATGTCAGGTGACAAAAATTCAATGTCCAGCCAACGTCTAAGGACCAAGTTATTTTTATGTCCAATAATGAAGTCAAATGACGCTGATATTTAGTCGTTTTTAGGTGGTTAGAAAGTGACCAAAATCCAAAGTCAAGCCAACATCTTAAACCAGCATCATATTGACATAAGATACTGGCATTTATTAATCAGGTATAGCAACCAAAATCCAACATCTGATTTACGTCATAGGGGTAACATCCACACATCGCCAAGCTGTAACATTATTAGATGTTGATATTTGGTTGATTTTGGATATTTACGTCAGCCTGACTTTCAGAGTTTTGACGTCAACACGATTTTAATTTCCAAATAAATTGTAACATCCCTATGCATTAAGATAAAAGGTCAATCTGACGCCATGTTGACGTCTTGTGCCTGCTGGGTGTTTAAGGCCATTTTGGTCAACATACAGTAAACATCCGTTATCTTCCCATCAGTGACATGCCTCTAAACAGTCTCTGGGTCAATGCGATTAAAGACTTTGGACATCTTCTTGGACACTTTTAATGCTTGCAAACAGTTTGTTGCAATTCTAAATCGCCCATGTCTTGGGGTATTTCATTATGATGCGATTTACCTTCTATGTGCGATTTGGACAGGAATCACAGGACTGTTTTTTTCCAATCCCCATAGACAAAAAAAAAAAAAAAAAATTGTAGTGACTGCAAGTTGAGGGACAGTAGTGTAGTAAAAGTACCGATACTGCACTAAAAATGTACTCAATGGAATGTAAACGTTCACAATTCCTGAGAAAACTACTCACAGTAATTTGAGTATTTGCAATGTTACTTTACACCACTGCTTATTTCTAATCCAAATATCTAAAAAGATATTAAATTAAGACACATTATTAGTAAAAAGAAGTTTGTTATCAAATGTAGGATGACAAAATGTAATCTAAAAGGATGATTTTTTTCGTACCCCATTGGCACATTTTTAAAGGAAAAACATACTTAATTTTGACCTATTAAATCTGTAAACACTCTTTTTTTCTTGTATAAAAATGCTTCTCAATAGGATACTTTTTAGACGTTTGGACTAGACCGCTCCATGTAAGAAAACAACTTTTTGTACTGCATTTAATTCTTTAATCAGACAAAAAGGGTCTTATTTTCATTAATCAAGGTGTGTCCCAAAGTGTTCTAATATGTATTTGTGACGTTTGAACCGCATTGTCTTTTCTCAGAATGTTTAGTGCATAATTGGTTATATTAAAGGTGTGAACGCTCGTTATGAACCGTCTCCACCTAGAACAACCTGGGTGGTTGTGCCTACGCCTTGTACAGGTAGTTGTGTCCCAACGGGTATGACTCATTTGTGTGCATAGTTTAGTTTTTTTTCCTATTTCTTTTGATTTTCTCCAATCAATCAGGAATTAGGGAGAGGTTTATTATTGTTATGTCACCCAGCCTCCATGAAGAACAAGCAGTGATGCTGTACCGAGGCATGTGTTTGTACCTTAAACCTGTTTTTCCGCTCTGGAAATGTATTACTTGCTGCAGCGAGAGTTTCATGAACAGTATGAAGAGGACAGAGGTAAACACGGACTCATCCAGTGGAAACATCCAGTCATTAGCATGACATTTTATTACTAGACATTGAACAAGGACATAAAAGCTCATAGGATACAAGGTAAGGCTTTTCTTTTGTTGTTCACATTTAAACATTAGCTTGGACTGTTTAAAACAAATTGTTTAATCTTATAGAAACTGCAATCTTGTATGTTTAGCTAGCATAGGTGTCAAGTTGTTATGAATTACTATGCAGAGAATGCACAAGTTATGCTTGTTTAATTTCATTTTTACAATATTTTACAAAAAGTTGAATGTATTTAAATTGCATTTATGTGTCAATACCTCTAATTATTGCATAGGGATGTTTTTTAAACTGGTAAATCTAAACATTTACTGTACTTTTGTATACTACATATTACTAAAAGAGTGTTTCTGATGCACATTTTCAGATTCTGAACATCTTAATTTGTGATTACTATAAATAAAAGGGTAACAGCTTTGTGCAAGTTTGTAAAATGATCATATACCACATTTTGTACCAAGTAATCCAATGTTTTTGGTAGATTTTGATGAAATAGCTGACAATTAAGTCATCACAGTTGAACAGGTTATCAATATGTCTTTACAGATGATCATGGGATAATCTGGTACCTCTGCGATTGCGCAGCTTTAAAACAGAGGGTGTGGTTAATAAGGTGAGGTCTGCTCAGTTTCTTTTGTCTGGCCTAACCTGTTCCTAACGCCCTCTTGTTACACTATCCTAACAATTCTTTGAATACCTCACAGTTTCGTCTGTCTGTTTATTCACCAATGCGATAAATGCTGACTTTAAAAAAAAAAAAAGCATGGAAGTTTTCTCAGTTTCTTTCAGTCTGAGAGAAGTGCTTCTATTCATTTACTGATTGCCCCATACTGTATGTATTATACAGTATAAATATGCAGTGGTGTAAAGTAACTAATTACAAATACTCAAACTACTGTAATTGAGTAGTTTTTCTAAGGAAATGTGTACTTCTACTTTCCCTTAGATGCACTTTTAGTGCTGTATCAGTACTTTTACTCCACTACTTTCCTTCAACCTGCAGTCACTACTTTATTTTCTCCTGTCTATGGGGATAAGAAAAATCTGTCCTGTGATTCCTGTCCAATCTAATAGCATATGGAAGTAAAGAGGTAAATCGAAGCATAATTAACTACCTCAAGACATGTGCGATTTATAATTGCAGTTAACTGTTTGGAAGCATTAAACGTGTCCAAGAAGATGTCCAAAATCTTTACTTACATTTACATATTAAATGTAGTGCAAGTAGAGTAAAAGTATTTGTTTTAAATATTACTCAAAGTATGAGTAAAAATTAGCCCTTTCAAAAATACTCAAGATTTGTGTGTAGTGAGTTTTACTCTGTTGAAAGCTGGTTTACATGTAATTTGTAAATGTGTGTAAACGTAACATTCTGTAGTGTATCTAGTTATTGCCCTGCAGGCACACAACATCATAAGACGTTATTATTAGGTTAGATTTAGGTTGTGATGTCCGGTGACCAAGATTTTATGTCTAGTCAGCGTCTAATGACCTTATTTTGATGTCCAATAATAAAGTCAAATGGCGTACATATTTGGTCTATTTTAAGTTGTTAGAAAGTGACCAAAATCCAACGTCATATTGACATTTTCAAATACAGACATTTATTCATCAGGTATGGCAACCAAAATCCAATGTCTGATAGATGTCATAGTGGTAACATACACAATGTGAAGATGTAACATCATTAGACATTGATATTTGGTTGATTTTAGGTTGAATGTTGGACATTGACGTCGGCCTGATGTTGAGACCCGATTTTCATGTCCAAACAAAATGCAACATCCCAATGACGTTAGGGTACAATGTCAATCTAACGTCATGTTGATGTCTTGTACCTGCTGGGTGTTCAAGGTCACTTCGGTCATCATGCAGCAAACATCCGCCATCCTCTCATCAGCGACATGCATCTAAACAGTCTCTGGGTCAATGCGATTAAAGATTTTGGACATCCTTTTGGACACTTTTAATGCTTCCAAACAGTTTGCTCCAATAATAAATCGCCCATGTCTTAAGGTAGTTCATTATGATGCGATTTACCTTCTCTGTGTTTGATTGGACAGGAATCACATGACAGATTTTTCTAATTCGAAAAAAATAAAGTAGTGGAGTAAAAGTACAGATACTGCACTAAAAATGTACTCAAGGGAAAGTAAAAGTATGCGTTTTTAAAACTACTTAGTAAATTACAAGTCCTGAGAAAAACTATAAAAACAGTAATCTGAGTATTTGTAATTAGTTACTTTACACCATTGCCAACGTCCAACCTAAAATCAATTCAATATCAACGTCTAATCATGTTACAGCTTGACACTATGACGTCAATGAGACATTGGATTTTAGTTGCCATACCTGACAAATAAATGTCAGTATCTGATGTCAATATAACGCTGGATTAAGATGTTGGCTCGACGTTAGATTTTAGTCACCTTCTAACACAAGTTAAAATCAACTAAAATATCTGCATCATTTCACATCATTATTGGATGTCAAAAAAACTCCTTAGATGCTGGTTAGACGTTGAATTTTGGTCACCCGACGTTACAACCTAAATCTAACCTAATTTTAATGTCCTATGATGTTGTGTGACTGCTGGGCAATGACTAAATGCACTACAGAATGTTACGTTTACACACACATGCACAAATTGCACATAAAAGCATCAGCTTTTAACAGCGTAATACTCACTACTCCTGAATACTTTTGAAATTTCTACTTCTTACTCATACTTTGAGTAATATTTACAATAGATACTTTTACTGTACTTGCACTACATATTTAGTCAAGTAATGGTACTTTTACTTGAGTATGATTTTTCAGTATTTTTCCCACCACTGAATATATGTATATAATATATGTTTATAATGTTTAAGTATGTGATTGTATTGTGACTTAACATGCATTTGTAATAATTTGCATTGAAACGTGGTTCTCATGAGTGCAAAATTCCCTTTGCATTAACAGGTTTCAGTTCTGGAGGCTTTCGTGTAAATATATATACTGGTGAAATGGTATGTTATCTGTTTTTAATCTTATTTGTCCTCCAAACATGTTGATTATGATTTTTGTGCTTGATTTTGTGTTACTGTTTTAGTTATTATTAGAAATAAATGATGATTGAATTTCTGATGAAATGCTATTTTGTGTAAACTGGCAATGCATATGTTGCTCATCAAAACTTTAAAATGTTAGATTTATTTATGCATGTAATTAATTTAATGTTAAAATCACTGTGTTTTGTAACTGGCAGGCTCTTTACCAAAGAAGCCTCTCTGACAGCCTGCTGCTTGAAGATAATGTCTCTGGAGAGTACACAGACCTGCACTTTCTTGAAGGTACAGTCGCATATTTGATTATGATTTTATTTTCTTTAGGTCAAGGCTGGCTGAATAATTATAATAATATTCTGTGAAATTGTAAATACAACTGAGCAAAGCTGTGAAATGTAATAAATCTCCTCTGAAGATCAGAGAGCGCTCTTGCCAGAAACTCCGGCTACATCCGGATCTATTTGAAAATGGCGTTTTCATCTAACACACTCCAATATCTATTTCCAATTATTTTTGTCATCAACACTAAAACGACTGAAAACCCTTTTGTTCGTGTATTGCACGTGCACAGATGTACGACGATTTTACCTGCGTCATATCTGCCTGGCGTTTATTTACTTTCCGTCTCTTTGAAACATTGCGGCAAAAGGCAATATGGAGCATGTACAAACTGACAATAATCTTTAAAATAGCTGTCAAAATGGGCAGCATCCAAAACACCTGCTTTACAGTGTCTTCGACCATGTTAGCTGAATTGGTCACATGATTGCATCACATGATTAAATGCGTCATTGTTTTTGAAAGCCTCCATAATGACATTTTCAGATTTAGCCACTTTAGGCAGCGTTTACAAAAAGATACATTTTAGTTTCCTAAAAATAAAACGCAGTCTCAGTGTGTATGGAAGGACAAAATGTGTGTTTTTCAGTGTTGGGCACTAGCATCGCTACAAGTAGTGACACTACTAGGTTTACAACATTTCTCAGTAGCGTAGCAGTAGCTGTTTGTTTTAGTCAAGTAGCGCAGTATCGTCCACACAAGTTACATTTGCCGATTGCGGATCAATAAGTGGCAGCATCGAAATTCATGGAGCTGTGAGGCCGGTGTCTAGCCGATGAAAGTTAATCCATATGATGGCGATAATGACGATTTCTTCTTCCACCTGTTTTACGGTGGTCAACAACAAACTTTTTGGTGGGTTGCTGCCACCTCTCACTCTGGTCTGTGACGTCGCTAACACAAGAAATTTGCTGCATGGAAAGATGGCTGAGGGAGAGGAGTTATTTCTAAAGCAGGATTCCGCGTTACCATACCTCGAGAAGTACATGTTAAGATGTAGTGAATGCTATGATAATAACTATTAGTTCATGATAGTGTCTGATGATACTACATTTATGTAGTGTAATTCATTAATGAAGAGTTGTAAATATATATACAATATAATGCTTATCCATAAAAAAAAAAATCCCTTTATTTTAAATTACTATAGTATTTTAAATGTGTTGCATCTGGTTTTATAGATTTTTTTGGTTTTGCTGTTATATACTATAATTTGTTGGTAAATAATTGAACTGAACAATTATGCCTCATATGTTTTATTGACAGTTTTGTTGATCACTAAGATATGATTGACTTGGATTTAAGTTGCTTCGATTTAAAAATGAAAATTGCAAAAATAGCTTAGATCGAGCTAAGCTATTTTTGCCAAGTAGCTTTTAGCTTAGGGCCTACTCACGCTATGCTATCCGGACCGTGCCCAGGGCCCGTTTCCGGGATCGTTTGAGAAGTGTGAGTGCTCTGAATCGAGCTCAGGCATGGTTCACTTTGCCGGCCCTTGCCCGGTTGGAAGAGGTATGCCAGAGCGCTGTAGACTTGGGCTTTAGCTCGGTACGCTTGTGTGTGAGTGCAAAACGCACCAAAGCCCGAAACTGAAAGCGAGAGGGGACTTTTAAGGGACTGTTTTATATGGATTAATTAATCATTCTTACTGTTTAATGAACGCGAACTGTCATAGTTTATTAAACACGCAAACCCCTCCCTGCATGACAGCTGCGCACCTTCAGCAAACCTCCTAATTCCTGCAGCAGGAGGACTTTATGATTGTTTATAAGCATCAAAAGTGGCTGATCTGTTCTGCGAAATATTTGACTGTGTGTCACTGCATATGAAACGACTTAAACAATATAATTAAAGAAATCTCCACTGTGCTGAGCAAAAGTGCTTACTGAACAGCACATCATCAATGATGTAAGCATACCCAGGCCCGAATGTAATGTGAGTGCGGGTTGTCGGGGGAGACGGGAGGGGGAGGGCAAGCGTGTTTTGGCCTGGTTCAAAGCAACTGTACAAAGTGTGAGTACGCCCTTAGCTTGCTACATTTTCCAGAGGGTAGTTTTAGTGTAGTTAAGCTACATTTTAAGTAGAGTAGCTAATAGCTTAGCTCACAACATTTTTCAAGTAACTTGCCCAACACTGGTGTTTTTAAACGAAAACATATTCGTGCACTGCCTCTAAATGTCTAGAAAGAAAATCAGGAAATGGCCTTATAATCCTCATTATTAACAAAACGTAGAACTGGTTTCATTGATTAAGCATAATTAACAATCAGACAACTATGGAATTATCTCACAAAATAAATGATTTCAAACACTTGACTGAGCTTATGAGGTAAGTTTGGAGTTAAACTATGTTATTATGTGTGGTATTTTCATGTGCTCCATTTACTACACAGAGCCATAGTTAATTGAAAAGCTGCACAAACTTCGACTCTTTGTAGTAAATGCTGCTCCATCTAAGCGCATGTGCTGGAGGTTTTCTAAAACTAATTTTACTGAGAAAATATGCATGAAAATTGCCTAATCGCCCAGTCCTAAAATACTATCACTATACGATCACTATAAAGTTATTGAGCATCATAGCATCACTTTTTTACAAAGAACTTCTTATTGGTCTTATTCTTTGGTGTAAGTGTGGGTTCAGCCATCAATACCTATTGGTTTAGACTTATGGTCTCATTTGTTTTCTCTAATTTTTAGCAGCAAAAAAAAAACAACAAAAAAAACAGATTGTTCTGCTGCTTGATGTTGTAAACTTATATTTTCCTTTTTATACTTTATTATTACAAAATAACTTTGCCCTGAACCCACCAATCAATTTTGTGTTTAAAGGATGATTAAAAATTCTTGCTAAGGGAACTTCTGCGTAATGAAAAATGTTGATAATTTTCACATTGCAATTTTTAGGGGAAGATATTGTTGGTGCCAGTGATCAGCTTGAGCTAAAAAGGAATAAACAAAAGAAGAATGAAGCTGTGGACATTTTGAAGTTGATTAATAATGACAAGGAGTTCTCAAAGCATGGATTAAAATCCAGCAGAAGTTTGGAAAATCTGGATATGAAAGCTCCAGTTGAGGTCTGTTTTTTTATTTTTATTTTTTGCTTTTAAAGCACTAAATCATATGTCCAGCAAACCCATTGATTTGTTCTAACTGAAATGTTTCAACAGGTGTGGAAAGATTCATATGACAGACTTTACAATGCTAAAGTCAAGAGATTTCTAAAAGGAAGTCAAGTTGCAAAGGATAAAAGGCATAGCAAACATGGCAGTGGTCAAGAGACAACTGAAACACTTGACCGCAAAAGCAAGGTAAACATTGCAACTTTGCTTCAGAATGCAGATCGGATGTGTCTCGCACCATCTGAAACAGAATTTGATGAGAAAACAAGGTCATCCATTAGCCATTATGATCCCAGGGATTCTACAGGTGACTTGATGAGAGCAAAGCTCAAAACCAACACTGCAAGAGATTTTTCATCACTTCAATCCAAAGTGAACCTGACCAATGTTGAGCATGAAATAAACCTACGGGGTGGAACATATACAGACTTAGAAAAAGATGTTGGTTTTAATACACCAGATCGTACTTTCTCTCATGGTCAAGTATCTCCTGTGATGCACCTCACAAAAGGACATTTTAAGACCCCCAAAGCAGTGCTTAATTCCCCTGATATGAATATGGATGTACCATCAGATAATGTCGAGAAATCAAAATTTAAACTGCCAAAATTTAGCTTCTCTGGAAACAACAATCCAGACATCAAATATGATGCAAGTATGAAGGGGTCACCAGCCGAAGTAGCTGCAGGACTAAATGGCCCTAACATAAAAATTGATGGCCCAAAGGTTGATTACAAAAGTTTGAAAACAGACTTGGACATGGATATGCCATCTGGAAAACCAAAAGCTGCTCTCTCAGGGCCCAAGATGATGACATCTGAAATGGATGTGTCAACTTCAAAGTTTAATGCAGACTGTAATTCACCTGACATTAAAATTAGAGGTCAAAAACCAGGCATGGATGTTGATTTACCTAAAGGTAATATTAAAGCTTCAAATTTAAACCCCCCCAATCTTGACTTGAATGCATCTGATCTTATTGTAAAGGCTCCTTCAGGACCTAACCTTAAAATAAAGTCTTCAGACCTGAATTTCAAAAATTCCAATGTTAATGAGGGAATTAATGACCCTGGTATGGATCTGACTCTACCTCATGCTGATCTGAAAAACCCAAATGACTTTGGCCTCACAGGCCCCAAAATACAAACACCTAATTATGACCTAAAGACCCCTGAAATGGATCTTTCAACTCCCAAGCTAAAGACCGGATTAGATTCAACAGATATCAACATTAAATGTCAGAAACCTGATATCACAGACACAAATATTGATTTATCCAAGGGTAAAATCACAGTACCAAATTTAAAAACACCCAGTCATGACTTCAATGCACATGATTTGGACATCAATGCCCCTTCAGGTAAAATAAAAATGCCCAAATTAAAGATCTTTGGTAACAAGCCAGAAGGATCCAGTCTTAAAATCAAGTCTTCAGATCTGAATCTCAAAACCCCCAAAATTAAGGGTGGAATTGATACGCCAGAACTCAATCTAACTCAGCCTCAAACTGATTTAAAAGCCCCTAACATGGATATCAAATCACCTGATGCCTCAAAACTAAAGATGCCTAGGCCACATATGAATGTTGATGCGAACATTGAACAGCATGACCTTGATCTGAGTGCATTAACACCCAAACTTAATGCAGGTATAAAAAGCCCTCATATTGACATTAATGGACCGATTGCTGATATCAAGGGTCCAAAAACAGATCTTACACTACCGAACATGGACATGCCTTTAGAAAAAAAGAAAATGCCCACTTTCAAAATGCCTGATTTTGGTCTTTCAGCACCCAATATAAGAACACTTGATGCTGATCTGAAGACCCCTCAAATGAATCTGTCTGCTCCAAAGTTTAAGGGAGACTTTAATTCCCCAGATCTCAGCATTAGTGGTCATAAGCCAGATATAACAGCACCAGACATGAATGTGGATTTCTCAAAAGGTAAAATTAAAGGAACAAATCTCAAGAATCCAAATTTTGACATGGATACACCAGATTTTAAGATGAATTCCCCTTCAAGTAAACTGAAGCTGCAAAAATTTGGCATCTCAGGTAGCAAGAAAAAAGGACCTGATCTTAAAATCAAATCTCCAAACTTGAATATCAAAAGCCCCAAAATGAAGGGAGGAATTGACACCCCAGACATGGATCCGACTCTGCCTCAAGTGAATTTAAAAGCTCCCAACCTAGATCTCAAATCTCCTGATATTGATCTTAAGGACCCATCAGGTAAATTTAAAATGCCCAGTTTAGGTCTTTCAGGTTTAAAAGAGCCACATATAAATGTGGATGCTGGCATAGATCAGCCGGACCTAAATGTGAGTCCATTAACTCCTAAGCTAAATGCTGGGATAAATGGTCCAGATATTGATATTCATGGACCGCATGCTGATTTCAAAGGTCTGAAAACAGATCTTAAACTTCCTGACATGGACATGCCATCTGGAAAAAAGAAAATGCCCAATTTCAAAATGCCTAGTTTTGGTCTAACCGGGCCCAAATTGAAAACACCCGATTATGATTTGAAGCACCCTGACATGGATCTTTCCCCTCCAAAGTTTAAGGCAGACGTTGATTCCCCAGACATAAACCTTGGTCATAACATTGATGTCACAGCTCCAAACTTGAATGTTGACTTACCAAAAGGTAAAATTAAAGGGCCAGATTTGAAGACACCTGATCTTGACATGAATGCACCTGACTTTGACATAAATGCCCCATCAGGTAAAATGAAGCTGCCAAAATTTGGTCTTTCTGGCAAGCCAAAAGGCCCAGATTTTAAAATCAATTCTCCAAAGCTCAATCTCAAAAGCCCCAAAATTAAGGGTGGAATTGATACCCCAGACATGGATATGACTCTGCCTCAAGCTGATTTCAAAAGCCCAAACCTAGATCTCAAATCTCCTGATATTGACCTTAATGGCCCGTCAGGTAAATTGAATATGGCAAAACCAAAGATGCCAAGTTTAAATTTGTCAGGTTTAAAAGGGCCACATATGAATGCTGACGTTAATCATCCCGACCTTAATCTGACTGCATCAACACCCAAACTAAATGCTGGGATGAGTAGTCCAGATATTGACATTCATGGAGCTGGTCTCAAAGGTCCACAAACGGACCTTACTCTTCCAGACATGGACATGCCATCTGGAAAAATGAAGCTGCCCAATTTAAAGTTTCCTAAATTTGGTCTATCAGGACCCAAATTGAAAACACCCGATTATGATTTGAAGACCCCTGACATGGATCTTTCCCCTCCAAAGTTTAAGGCAGACTTTGATTCCCCAGACATAAACCTTGGTCATAACATTGATGTCACAGCTCCAAACTTGAATGTTGACTTACCAAAAGGTAAAATTAAAGGGCCAGATTTGAAGACACCTGATCTTGACATGAATGCACCTGACTTTGACATAAATGCCCCATCAGGTAAAATGAAGCTGCCAAAATTTGGTCTTTCTGGCAAGCCAAAAGGCCCAGATTTTAAAATCAATTCTCCAAAGCTCAATCTCAAAAGCCCCAAAATTAAGGGTGGAATTGATACCCCAGACATGGATATGACTCTGCCTCAAGCTGATTTCAAAAGCCCAAACCTAGATCTCAAATCTCCTGATATTGACCTTAATGGCCCGTCAGGTAAATTGAATATGGCAAAACCAAAGATGCCAAGTTTAAATATGTCAGGTTTAAAAGGGTCACATATGAATGCTGACGTTAATCATCCCGACCTTAATCTGACTGCATCAACACCCAAACTAAATGCTGGGATAAGTGGTCCAGATATTGACATTCATGGAGCTGGTCTCAAAGGTCCACAAACGGACCTTACTCTTCCAGACATGGACATGCCATCTGGAAAAATGAAGCTGCCCAATTTAAAGTTTCCTAAATTTGGTCTATCAGGGCCCAAATTGAAAACACCCGATTATGATTTGAAGACCCCTGACATGGATCTTTCCCCTCCAAAGTTTAAGGCAGACTTTGATTCCCCAGACATAAACCTTGGTCATAACATTGATGTCACAGCTCCAAACTTGAATGTTGACTTACCAAAAGGTAAAATTAAAGGGCCAGATTTGAAGACACCTGATCTTGACATGAATGCACCTGACTTTGACATAAATGCCCCATCAGGTAAAATGAAGCTGCCAAAATTTGGTCTTTCTGGCAAGCCAAAAGGCCCAGACCTTAAAATCAATTCTCCAAAGCTCAATCTCAAAAGCCCCAAAATTAAGGGTGGAATTGATACCCCAGACATGGATGTGACTCTGCCTCAAACTGATTTCAAAAGCCCAAACCTAGATCTCAAATCTCCTGATATTGACCTTAATGGCCAATCAGGTAAATTTAATATGGCAAAACCAAAGATGCCAAGTTTAAATATGTCAGGTTTAAAAGGGCCACATATGAATGCTGATGTTGATCATCCTGACCTTAATCTGACTGCATCAACACCCAAACTAAATGCTGGGATGAGTAGTCCAGATATTGACATTCACGGACCTGGTCTCAAAGGTCCAAAAACAGACCTTACAGTTCCAGACATGGACATGCCATCTGGAAAAATGAAGCTGCCCAATTTAAAGTTTCCTAAATTCAGTCTATCAGGGCCCAAACTGAAAACACCAGATTACGATTTGAAGACCCCTGAAATGGATCTTTCCACTCCAAAGTTTAAGGCAGACTTTGATTCCCCAGACATAAACCTTGGTCATAACATTGATGTCACAGCTCCTAACATGAATGTTGACTTACCAAAAGGTAAAATTAAAGGACCAGATTTGAAGACACCTGATCTTGACATGAATGCCCCTTCAGGTAAACTGAAGCTGCCAAAATTTGGGTTTTTTGGCAAGCCAAAAGGCCCAGATTTTAAAATCAATTCTCCAAAGCTGAACCTCAAAAGCCCCAAAATTAAGGGTGGAATTGATACCCCAGACATGGATATGACTCTGCGTCAAGCTGATTTCAAAAGCCCAAACCTAGATCTCAAATCTCCTGATATTGACCTTAATGGCCCATCAGGTAAATTGAATATGGCAAAACCAAAGATGCCAAGTTTAAATATGTCAGGTTTAAAAGGGCCACATATGAATGCTGATGTTGATCATCCCGACCTTAATCTGACTGCATCAACACCCAAACTAAGTGCTGGGATAAGTAGTCCAGATATTGACATTCATGGAGCTGGTCTCAAAGGTCCACAAACAGACTTTACTCTTCCAGACATGGACATGCCATCTGGAAAAATGAAGCTGCCCAATTTAAAGTTTCCTAAATTTGGTCTATCAGGGCCCAAATTGAAAACACCCGATTATGATTTGAAGACCCCTGACATGGATCTTTCTCCTCCAAAGTTTAAGGCAGACTTTGATTCACCAGACATAAACCTTGGTCATAACATTGATGTCACAGCTCCTAACATGAATGTTGACTTACCAAAAGGTAAAATTAAAGGGCCAGATTTGAAGACACCTGATCTTGATATGAATGCACCTGACTTTGACATAAATGCCCCATCAGGTAAAATGAAGCTGCCAAAATTTGGGTTTTTTGGCAAGCCAAAAAGCCCAGATCTTAAAATCAATTCTCCAAAGCTGAACCTTAAAAGCCCCAAAATTAAGGGTGGAATTGATACCCCAGACATGGATCTGACTCTGCGTCAAGCTGATTTTAAAAGCCAAAATCTAGATCTCAAATCTCCTGATATTGACCTTAATGGCCCGTCAGGTAAATTGAATATGGCAAAACCAAAGATGCCAAGTTTAAATTTGTCAGGTTTAAAAGGGCCACAAATGAATGCTGATGTTGATCATCCTGACCTTAATCTGACTGCATCAACACCCAAACTAAATGCTGGGATGAGTAGTCCAGATATTGACATTCATGGAGCTGGTCTCAAAGGTCCAAAAATGGACTTTACAGTTCCAGACATTGACATGCCATCTGGAAAAATGAAGCTGCCCAATTTAAAGTTTCCTAAATTCGGTCTATCAGGGCCCAAATTGAAAACACCCGATTATGATTTGAAGACCCCTGACATGGATCTTTCCCCTCCAAGGTTTAAGGCAGACTTTGATTCACCAGACATAAACCTAGGTCATAACATTGATGTTACATCTCCTAACTTGAATGTTGACTTACCAAAAGGTAAAATCAAAGGGCCAGATTTGAAGACACCTGATCTTGACATGAATGCACCTGACTTTGATATAAATGCCTCATCAGGTAAAATGAAGCTGCCAAAATTTGGTCTTTCTGGCAAGCCAAAAGGCCCAGATTTTAAAATCAATTCTCCAAAGCTGAATCTCAAAAGCCCCAAAATTAAGGGTGGAATTGATACCCCAGACATGGATGTGACTCTGCCTCAAACTGATTTCAAAAGCCCAAACCTAGATCTCAAATCTCCTGATATTGACCTTAATGGCCCGTCAGGTAAATTTAATATGGCAAAACCAAAGATGCCAAGTTTAAATATGTCAGGTTTAAAAGGGCCACATATGAATGCTGATGTTGATCATCCCGACCTTAATCTGACTGCATCAACACCCAAACTAAATGCTGGGATGAGTAGTCCAGATATTGACATTCACGGACCTGGTCTCAAAGGTCCAAAAACAGATCTTACAGTTCCAGACATGGACATGCCATCTGGAAAAATGAAACTGCCCAATTTAAAGTTTCCTAAACTCGGTCTATCAGGGCCCAAACTGAAAACCCCAGATTACGATTTGAAGACCCCTGAAATGGATCTTTCAGCTCCAAAGTTTAAGGCAGACTTTGATTCCCCAGATCTAAACGTAGATAATAACCTTCATGTCACGGCTCCTGACATGAATGTTGATTTACCGAAAGGTCAAATGAAAGCACTAGATTTAAAGAAACCAAATCTTGACATGCGCAAATCTTTTCCAAGACTGGAAAAATTAATATGCCCACATTAAAAATGCCAAAGTTTGGTGTTTCAGGAACAAAAATAAAAACGCCAGACTATGACTTGAAGACCCCTGAAATGGATCTTTCTGCCCCAGAATTTAAGGCAGACCTTGATACCACGGATATCAACATTAAAGGCAATAAGCCAGATATCACAGGACCAGACATGGATTTTGATATCCCAAAAGGTACATTTAAAGGACCAAATTTGAAGACACCCAATTTTAACATGAGTGCACCTGACCTTGACATAAATGCTCCTTCAGGTAAAATGAAGCTGCCGAAATTTGGCAAGCCAAAAGGCACAAATTTTAAAATGACTTATCCAAAGTTGACTTTCAAAAAACCCCAAAATAAGGGAGGAATTGATATTCCTCAAACTGATTTTAAAAGCCCAAACCTAGATGCTGACTTGGATCATCCTGGCCTTAATCTGAGTGCATCAACTCCAAAACTAAATGCAGGGATAAATAGTCCTGACATGAATGTTCATGGATTTAATGCTGATCACAAAGGTATGACAACAGACCTCACACCTCCTGACATCAACATGCCATCTGGAAAAATGAAACTGCCCAATTTAAAGATGCCTAAATTTGGTCTATCAGGACCCAAATTGAAAACACCAGAGTATGATCTTAAGAACCCTGAAATCGGTCTTTCAGCTCCAAAGGCAGACTTTGATTCTCCAGAATTCAATATTAAAGGTCAAAAGCCAGAAATCTCAGGACCAGACATGGATGTAAATATTCCTAAAAATAAATTTAAAGGACCAAGTTTTAAGAAACCTAATATTGATATGAATGCACCTGACCTTGACATAAATTCCCCTTCAGGTAAACTGAAGCTGCCAAAATTTAGTTTATCAGGAAGCAAACCAAAAAGCCCAGAATTCAAAGTCGAATCTCAAAACCTGAATCTTAAAACCCCTCAGATTAAGGGAGGAATCGATACCCCAGACATGGATCTAAATCTGCTTCAGGCTAAAATGAAAACCCCTAAACTAGATTTAAAATCTCCTGATGTTGATCTTAATGACCCATCAGGCAAATTTAATATGGCAAAACCAAAGATGCCAAGTTTAAATTCGCCAGGTTTGAAAGGGCCACATATGGATGCTGACATTGATCATCCAGACCTTAATCTAAGTGCATCATCTAAACTAAATGCAGGGGTAAAAAGCCCTCATATTGATATTGATGGACCTAATGCTGATTTCAAGGTTCCAAAAACAGACCTAACACTCCCCAATATGGACATGCCATCTAGTAAAAAGAAAATGCCTAATTTTAAGATACCTGATGTTGGTTTTACAGGACCCAAAATCAATATGCCTGACTATGATAAGCCAGCTAAAATAAATCTTTCGGCTGCAACGTTTAAGGCAGACTTGGATTCACCAGACATCAACTTTAGAGGTCATAAGCCAGATATCACAGCACCTGACATGAATGTTAATGTGCCTAAAAGCAAAATAAATGTACCAAATTTCAAGAAACCTAATGTTGATTTGAACACTCCAGAGATTGACATTGATGCGCCTTCCGCTAAAATGAAACTTCCAAAGATTGGCCTCTCAGATTTAAAAGCTGAAGGACCTGATTTTAAAATGAAATCTCCAAAATTGAAAACCAAAAGCCCCAAAATTAATGGAGGAATCGATACTCCGGGAATGGACTTGACTCTGCCTCAGACTGATCTGAAAACTTCAAATTTAGATTTTAGACCACCTGATATTGATGTTAATGGCCCTTCAGGTAAATTTAATATGTCCAAGTTAAAAATGCCCAGTTTGGGTCTGTCAGGTTTGAAAGAGCCACATTTTGATGATGACATTGATCATCCAGACATCCGTCTTAGTTCATCACCTCCCAAACTAAATGCTGGGATTAATCATCCTGATTTTAACATTCATGGACCTAATGGTGATTTTACACTTCCCAAAACAGAAATGCCATCTGGAAAAATAAAAACATCCACATTTAAGATGCCTGATATTGGTTTCTCTGGACAAAAAATAAAGACACCCGACTATGATTTAAAGGCCCCTAATTTAGATCTCTTTAATTCACCAGATTTAAGTACCAGGAGTCATAAACCTGATTTCAGAGTCCCAGACAAGAATGTTGATTTTCCTAAAGGCAAAATAAAGGCAACCAATTTCAAACCCAATCTCGATGTCTACACACCAGAATTAGATAACCCTGATTTTCAAGGCCTGGGGTCTAATGATGATTTCCATGACTATACAAAAATGCACGCCAACAACTTTGCAATTCCAAGAGGTAATATAAAGGCAGGCAAAACATATGATCTAGATCCTTCCTTAAGAGACATTAGAATGCCAAACCATCAGAAATATGGTACCTCAAAATTCACCATGCAGGACCCTTATTTTGATTTGAACAGTGGTATGAACATTTCAGGAAAAGCCCAGAGGCCTAAAATGACAAGACATCTCCCCGACTCACCCGATGTCACAATGGCTTTACCAACCCCAAGACCCAGAACCTCTGGAGTAGTTCCAACATCATCAGATGTTTACTACAGCGAAATGTCTGGTGCACACAGATCAAGAGATCATAAAAGAACGGGGAGTAACTTTGAAATTGATGACAGCTGGAACAAAATATCAGTGCCTAAACTTCAAGCCCCAACCAGAACTGAGAATTTGCCTGTGAGAAATTCAAATATGGGAATGAGTCCGAAGCAAATCTCACCCCATAGGGGAGGTGATGCAAGATATTATAGGAAAACTCAAATGGTTCCAAGACGTCATTACACTACTGATGACATTTGTTACACTTACAAAGGGATGCCTAGAAGAGATGGTCGGGGAAACGAGCAAAGTGACTATAGTCGCAGACGCACAATGAGACATCTGCAAATACAAGCAATGGATCTGGAGGTTCCAGAAAGCACGTTGAAAGGGTCAAAAATGAATGTCCTTAAACTAATGTAGTAGGATAAGTTTAAAAAAAGTGAATGGGAAGACATGGTTGAGCTTGTGCTTTCTAATCATTTTTATCAGAACTGACAATAGTGGGTTGATTGCCGCAACCTTTATGTATAAAATAATTCGAGTAGATGTCGATTTCTTCACCTTTCCATAAACAATGTGTTATACATGTATTTTAAATTGAATAGTATCATGTGCACTTACTAAAGATTTATAAAGGTTTTACTAAAACGTTTTTCTTAATTTTTTTAACGGAGCATGGATATTGCAAACTTTATATTTTTGTAAATTCTACATAATGTTAAAGTAATGTGTACAATGTGGGTAAGTTATACATATGTAAAAAGCTTTTTTGTGTATTGACATTTTTCTTCTTCTTTTTAAAGTTACTTATCTGTTATTGCAGATATTTCTGTGCCATGAAGTATCTAGTAAGGTACAGTAGGGGTAATTGTTTTGAAGGATGTATATAAATATTTGTGAAATATTACTGCTAACACATTTGCACAAATGTACAGTTGTTGTTGTTGTCGGCTGTTTTCCAACTCAAATAAAGTAATATACCCTTGGCTGAGGGTTATTTAGAAAACATTTTTTTTAATAATTGTAAAAAGAAAAAATGTGTTGTTATATCAAAAATATTTGCACACGTTGACAAAATCTGCATGTCAATTATTACATTTTCAAAGCCATTTAAAAGTGTGTTTTCAAAAATCTTCATTGCTTGCAAGTTTCATTGTTATGACGTAGTTCAGTAATTTTGTGTTTCCCAAAACCAACCAGCGGTGTGAAATACTTGAGCACTTTTACTGTATTATTTAATTAGTATTTTGGGGGATGTAGTATTTTGTACTTTACTGTACAAATACTTGAATATATTCCTGAAAAAACAGTACTTTTACACCTCATAATTGGATTTGAAATTAAAGTACTCATATATTTACCTTAAATTTTCTTTCATTTTATGCAAATGTGTGATTGACGCAATTATTTTTTATTAAAATTTCACCTTAATATCTGAAGTACACTGACCATAATGTATATAGCTTTTTCTAAATGTAATATTTTTTTTTGTCAGTTTGTGTGTGTTAGCTGTCTGTTTAGTACAGAATGCAGAATATTGTGTTTTGTTTGTGTGTTAGTGTTAGCTTTCTGTTGATGGAATGCAGAAGATTTTGTGCAAAAAAAAAAATCATTCATGAGAATTTGTTTTTCAAATAATACATTTTCTGGTGATAACTAATTCATCAGGGGGGTTAGTGTCATGTTCACTTTGTGTAGTTTCTCAGGCATTATCTCTGATTATAGTTTTACAATTGAATTGTATACAGACATGTTGTAAGCATTGAGTATTATACTGTTTATTTCACTTTGCATTAAAATTTCTGATTTAATTTTTGTCTGGTCTGGTTTTATAAATACATACACTATTACAATACACTGTTTTTATATCTCTGTTATTGTTACTACACCCACCTCTTACTGTTGATTTGTGTTTTGTGATTTGGTCCGAATGAGTGTATGGATGTTTCCCAGTGATGGGTTGCAGCTGGAATGGAATCCGCTGCGTAAAACATATGCTGGATAAATTGGTG